TTTCCCTTTATTTAGATCTTTATTTTCTTTCAACATTGTTTTGTAGTTTTCAGTGAAAGTCTGACACTTTTTTGGCAAAATTTATTCCTAAGTATTTTATTCCTTTTGATGCTACCTTAAATGGAATTGTTTCCTAAATTTCATTTTCAGAATTTTATTATTAACGTGTAGAAAACACAACTGACTTTTGTAGGTTGATCTTGTGTCGTGCAAGCTTGCTGAACACATTTATTAGCACTGGTGTTTTTTGTGCATTCTCTATAGAGGGTTTTCTGTATATAAGATCATGTTTTATTTCTTTCTTTTCAACCTGGATGCCTTTTGTTTGTTTGTTTTTCTTGCTTAACTTCCCTGGCTAGAACCTCCAAAACAATATGGAATACAAGTAGTAAGAGCAGACGATGGTCTGTTTGTGTTGGGAGGCCACGCAGCATCCAGCTGCTTCTCAAATCACTCTGACTTCACTTCTGTAGGCACCCCAGGTCTCCCGTGCACACGCGTGTAGTGTTTCTGTCAGCCGAGGTTACATGAGGCTCAGCCTCTCTCTGGCTCTTGTTTCCGGGGTCTCCCATTATCTTTCTGGCAGGCCTCGCTCTCTCCATTTCCTGCAGATTCACCACTCGTAGCCAATGAGAGTGTTCTCCTGTCCTGAACCCACCCTCTCTGAAGCAAAGCCACTGGTGCGTAGCCACCTCGCCCTGGTACAGCTGCCCTCTTGCCAGCCCCAGTGGGGTGTGGGGAGAGGGAGCGGCCCCAGGCAAGGAAGCACAGAACCCTACTTTTCCTGCCTAAAGCTGTCGCAGGTTTTCAAGAGTAATGTCTTCCAGTTTCTCATCTGCCTTTAGTTGATTTCCAAAGCCCTAAAACGGTTGTTTTTACAGTTTTGTCCAGTATCATACGTGGTTTTGTAGGGATAATTCACTGATCTCTGCTCCAGCTGCCCATTACAGTATTGAACATATAGTTACTTAACAAGATATCTGCTGTCGTTACTGTTTTTGGTTCTCTGTATTAAAATGAACTTGGGACTTTTTTTAATCGGGTGTGGTGAGACCATGAAGGAATGTAAGTGTTTACTCACAGGTCCCCAGCAGCAGAAGGCAGGGCACCGCCGGGGCCACACAGGGAGGTCAGGTGGCAGAAAGGAGGTGAAAGTCCATAGACAGGAGCCTGTGTTGTGGCTCTCGCGAGAGGGACTGGTGTGGCCGACCGGGCTTGGGCTTGGCTGGTTTGAGCACTCAGTGGTTCCAGGGTGTAGCACTGTCCTGGTTGTTGGGTGCTTGGTCCCGAATGGTCAGGGCAGAGACTGTTGCCTCCCAGAGTGTAGAATCCAGACAAAGAAGGTGGCTCAGAGTGTTGGCTCTGGATAGGTTGGGTCTTGTATCAGAGGTGTGCTTCCAGGCAAGTTGTTTACTGTCTCTAGGAATTAGCTATTCCTGGGATCAGCAGTCTTTCCAGGATGAGCAAGGCCCCACGATGTCAAATCACCATAGAATGCAGAAAATAAAAATAGGATTAATGCAGTCTGCTAAGACAGTTTTGCCTTCCTGTTTCTTAGCTGTCCTTCAGGGTCTTCTGAGGGTCACCTGCAGACTCAGGAGCATTCCGTGCCACCTGCGGGCAGTGTCCTCCCTCGGTCCACACAGCCCCGGGGCAGAGACAGGACCCCCATCGGGACTGCAGAGGGTGCCTTGTACAGGGGGCCTCCTGCCCCACGGGCGAGCTTCCGCCATAACGTTCCATGACATGCCAGGCACTTGCCCATCACCAGAGTCACCACATCCAGGGAAGCCCAAAGCTCGGACTCCCCCCACCACGTAGGTTTCCCAACCCAAGGGATTTGACCATAAGCATCATTGGCTTAGAACAGAGCTGTCCATCTCCCTTTTCGTTTTAGTATGGAAGTGGAGGAAGTTAACTGCAGGTAGATCCCTACCGAAGGGAGCTGGAAGAACTCCTGGAAGGTGTCCCTCCCAGGAGTTCTCAGAGCAGCAGGGCAGGGCTTGCAGCGTGGTGAGTGAAGAAGTCCAGCTCTGTGTGTGTCTGTGGAGCCCCTGTGTGCCTGCATACCTGCATGACTGTAGCTGCTGGCAAGAGCAAGCCGGTAGAGGTGGGAGCTGAAGCCCAGGAGCTCCTGTGTGAGGCTGAAGCTCAGCCAGACTGATCAGTGTCGGCTTCCGGGTCTTGATGTCAATCTTTTGTGTTGATGCTGGTGATTTCTATTCTCTCAGTTGCAAAGGTCCATAAAGGTAAGAAGGTTGAGATGTGAGATGTTCATGCTCCCTTGTGTGGATGCATCTGCAGAGTCAAGAGGAGCTTGGGTGCTTGACGGGTCAGTGTTGACATGCAGGGTTGTGTAGACACAAAGAAAAGTGGTGTTGTGCTAACTGAACAACGTACATCTTACTCCCTTTCCACCACAGGCAACGTCTCCCACTGGGGCCCTCAGCATCTCAGCCTGACACCAAGTCGGACGAGCGTGTCCAAGGCTCTCAGGTAGGGTCCCACGTACAACTTTTTAACAATGTTTAAAAGGGAAAATGTAAACAAAACAAAATGGAGTCACTCCGACTCACTAGAAAAAACCACTGTTAAAGTTTTAGTGTATTGCTTTTTAATCCTATTTTTATATGTTTTGAGTGAGGTTATATTGTATATAACCCTTTATATTTTGCTTTTTTTGAAACTAAAACATCACATAGGCATTTGCCCTGTTACTAAACTCTCCAAAAGAACCATTTCATGGCTGTATGATATTTTGTCATGGGAATAGAGGGGGAGTTGGCAGATGTTTTCTGTGAAGGGCAGGTAGTAGGTATTTCCAGTTCTTAGGGGTCAAGTGTTCAGCTGTAGACCTTCTGGACAAGAGAGTGAGGCTGTGCTCCAGTAAAACTTTACTTACAAAAACTAGTGGTGGGCTGGGCTCAGCCCATGGGCGGTAGTTGCTACCCCTGAACAGAACATAGTTCACTGAACTACGCTCTTCTAGGCATTCGTGTGGCCCCCACTTTCTCGGCTGTACACTTAGGCACACACTGGGTGTGTCTCCCTTTTCCCTCGGTGCCCACTGACCCTGCTGCAGCTGCCCCACCTCGTCCACCCGCCTGCTTTCACAGCCACCCAGGGCAGTGGAGTGTTCGTTGCCACACCCTGTTCTCTGTGTCTC